TCCCTAACTCAGCACTTACAGCTCAGATCCAAGCTGGGACCAAATACTGCTGCCTCCACCTCAGCTCCCACTGGGAACCCTGTCACCACTCCCTCCTCCACTGGCCCTTCCTGGGCTGCTGCCCCAGACTTGTCTCCAGGGGCCCTGCCATGACACGCTGAGAAGTCCTGGTAAAGCTCAGCTCTGACCCCGCCTCTGCACAGCTCAGAGTGGACGCCGAGGTCCTTGCACATCCTGTACATTGACCCTCGCCTGGCTCAGCCATGCCGGCCCCTTGCTCTTCTGCAGACTTGCTCCAGGGCCTTTGTACTTGCTTTTCTCACCCAGATACCTGCATGTCTCACTCTTTCCATCCCCTCATTGTCACTCACATGTCACCTTAGCAAGGCCCCAGCCACTCTCCTTAAGAAGCTGACATCCTTGGCTCCCTCTGTACCTTTTTCTGCCTTATTTTCTCCACAGTACTTCTGTGTGACCTGCTTGGTATTCCACTCATCTTGTCTCCTCTACCAGGACAGAAGCTCCACAAAGGCAGGAATTTCTGTCTGTTCACTCTGAATCCCCAGAGCATCTCAGTACCTGGCACATCATCAGCATTCAGGTATTTGTTAAACCAATCAATAAAGTCAGGAATAAAGGCCCGCTTGCCTTGGGGAGACATAAAAAACAAAAGCCCTGTTGATGGCCCACAAAAGAAAGGCCCACAAAGGCCCACAAAAGAAACAGTTACCATCAGGCTGGGCAAGCTAGCAGGGTCCCCAGAAACAAGGCTGACTGCACTCCTATACGCTCCTGACCCCTGGAATGATTTAAAACAAAACACCATTTATAACAGCATCAAAAAACATACTACTGAGGGGCCAGAGTCCCCACAGAACCAGCCTCTAGGGAGAAAGTTATAAACCCTGATGGAAAAGTTTGTCTGGTCTTGTCCCTGGTTTGGAGAGGGAGACTCTAACTCCTGGGAGTGTCCTGAGGGGTGGGGACTTTGTCATTTACAGTATAGTGAACACCTGAGTTTATGCTAATGTAGTGACTCAGAGCTGTCACCAGGGAGCCCCACCTGTGATCAGAGGGTGGGACGGCTGGGGGGCACTGGAGTTCACGCTGTGGATGACACAGTGACACCCCAACCCAACTGGAATACTGAGGCTCAGTGAGCTTCCTGATGTGCCAGCACGGTGGGGAGCCTGCATTCCATGGAGGGCACAGCTTGGCCATCCAGGCCCTCCCCACCTCACCCTGTGGGTCTCTTCACTTGGCTGGTCCCGGTTTGTATCCTTTCCTTTATAATAAAACTGTAAAATCGGGCTTCCCTGGTGGCGCAGTGATTGAGAGTCCGCCTGCCGATGCGGGGGACACGGGTTCGTGCCCCGGTCCGGGAAGATCCCACATGCCGCGGAGCAGCTGGGCCCGTTAGCCATGGCCGCTGAGCCTGCGCATCCGGAGCCTGTGCTCCGCGATGGGAGAGGCCACAACAGTGAGAGGCCCGCGTACTGCAAAAAAAAAAAAAAAAAAAACCCTGTAAAATCGTAAGTGTTGCGCTTCCCTGAATTCTGAATCAACCTAGTGAGTTACTGAATCTGAGAGGTCATGAGAACCTCTGAACTTGTAGCCAGCTGGTTAGAAGTGCAGGTGGTCAGGGACCCCCAAGCTTCTGGCTGGAGTCTGAGGTGAGGGCGGTCTTGACGGGGGACCGTGCCCTTGCCCTGTGCTTGTGCTAATGCTGTGGTTGGCAGCAGAGTTGCCCTGCACACACAGCATCAGAGACCCAAGTGGATGGATGGATAAGCAGCGTGTCATAATTGGAAACGCCCACATCACAAAAAAGTCACTTCTTCCCAATCTAGCAAGTCAACATTATTCCAGTCAAAATCCCAGACATAAATATCCTAATCTTTATACATAAGAGCAAAGGGCCAAGACTCTCCTGATGAGGTTGGGCAGCATTCCTGGAATTGAAGGTCCTAAAGCTGTTGTAACAGGGAATGTGGGGCCAGCGTCAGGACAGACAGACATACCAGTGGGATGGAGAGCCACGAAACAGGTCTGGACCCCTGGATGCTGGCTTACCAGAGCTAGCAATGCAGAGGGGGGTGGGATATCAGGTGTCCGTCTCCCAGACACCAGCATAAACAGCTCAGTCACAAACCTGAGTGTGAAAAGCAAAACTACTGGATGAAATTATAGGAAGGCATCAGAGGTGGGAGAGTTATTACACAGGACACAAAAGCATTTATCATGAAGGAAAAAATATACATTTGACTACGTTAAGAATTTCTTCAACAAGACACCAGAGTGTGAAGCCACAACAAACTAGGAGGAAACTGCAAACACACAGAACCAAAGAAAGCATAAAATATGCAACATGAAACAAAGAACTCCTAACTGATCAGTAAGAAACAAAAACCTGGGAGAAAACCCAGGAAGAAACCTAAGAGGCAGCCCCCAGGTGAGGAAATCCAAGTGGCCAATAAGCGTGTGGAAAGCAGTCAACCTCCTCCCGACCCCCGAACCAGGTAAACACCGGTGAAACCTCCACAAAGTGCCATCCACACCCCCAGATCAGTGAAAACAAAGGTGTCTGACAGTGCGGCAGGCGTCTGCAAGCACAGTGGGAGACGCTCTCCAAGAATGAAATCCCACTTGCCCAGCGCAGCAGCCGGAGCTTGGATGAGAGCGCTTCAGAGCCCATGTCGCAGACACACGACACACGGCACCGGACATAGACCTGAGAACTCGCCCCATTGCCTGGCAGCAGCACCATCACCAAGGGTAAAACATGCAAAGCGGGGCTTCCCTGGTGGCGCAGTGGTTGAGAGTCCGCCTGCCGATGCAGGGGACACGGGTTCGTGCCCCGGTCCAGGAAGATCCCACATGGCGCGGAGCAGCTGGGCCCGTGAGCCATGGCCGCTGAGCCTGCGTGTCTGGAGCCTGTGCTCTGCAACGGGAGAGACCACAACAGTGAGAGGCCTGCGTACCACCAAAAAAAAAAAAAAAAATGCAAAGCGAAATGCCCACTGTTGAGAGCTCTGGGCTCTTGGAGGACAAGGAGTGACAGCCTGTGGCCTTGGAAGCAGGGTGGTGGGGTGCGTTTTTATTTACGTTTCTTTAGATGAGGGACACAGGACTGGGGTGGACACCAGTGGGAAAGGGGGCTTTTGGCAGCTGGTTCCAAGGAGAAGCACTCCTACTGCAGGCGCTATGCTGCTGGTGGAAACTAGTGAGGAGCTCAGTGTCCCTGGGGAGGGGCTGCCAACAACACGAGCCACCTGGGGGGATGGGCACAGCACCCACAGGTCCACAGTGACCCTCAGGCATCGCAGACCGAGGCCTCAGCACGTCCTGAGATGCCTGCACCTGCATGTCCAGTCGCTGGTACAAAGCCATGAAACAAAGCACCAGGAGGACCCGTGCAAACCCCACTCCATAACACCCTGGGGGTGGAGGCTGCTGCTCACAGGGAGCTTTGGTTCCACCTAGAAACATCATCGCCTTTGGATAAGCCCACACAGGCAGCTGCGGAGTGACACGGGCCCATGCTTGGCCAGGACAGGGACCTGAGGAATCCAGGGGGGTGGTGACAACCATGCTGCGTCATGACCCATCTGGATGAGGCGTACAAGGGGGTGACAACAGCAGCAGCGGGCCTCAGCTGGACAGGAAGAGTTCAGTAAGCATCACCACATTAGGTGAGACCCAAAGACTTGAGCACCCGGCTCAGCGAGCAGAGCCTCGCAGACCCTGGGTCTGTTCTCATCACAGACCAAGGCAACATGGAGAATCTCCAGATCCCGAAATGAGTTGGTTGGGAGGGCTCCCCGCAGCCCTTCCTGCCCCCACCGTTCCCCAGTCTCATCCCGTCCTCCTCGTGCCTCGGGGCCCTGGATGCCCCCGTGATCCTCTGGGCCCACACTCCCCATCCCCCCAGCTCGGACCTCCCGCTGGCTCTGCCTGAGATGTGAGGCGGGGTAACCAGGACCAGCCTGAAACTGCAGGAGAGGAGCCAATTCCCAGGATGGCCAACCAAGAGCAGAAGGAACAGCTACAGAGCAGGGACACCACATCACAATCTCAAGAGCCGGCTCCCTGCACTCTGCCACCAGAAGGAAGGACTCGGGGCCTCTCCCTGCGGGGGGCCCAAGAGGCCCGCCCCCAAGCAGGGGCGGCGCGGTGCCAGCAGTGGTGCTGACGCTACATAGGCGCCCAGGGCATCCCCACCGCACACAGATGTCCCCGCGTCCCTCCCGTCAGCTCCTCTGCCCACACGAGGCACAGTGCCCCACACTGGTTCCTGGGAACATCCCCGGAACTGGCCAGCCTTTACAGGGACTGGTGTGCACAGCTTGGAGCTCCTCGGGTACCACATGCCACAGCCTCCCAGCCTGTACTCTCCCTGCCCGAGCCCCCAGACCCAGCCCCACACTGGAGGCAGCTCTTCAGCATCACCCCAGCCCACGTAGGTGCTCTGGGCCTGCCCTGGCCCTGGAAATCCACTGCACATCAACACAGACACGAGAACGTGATGATGTCATCAAACATGAGAGAATGACTTCCTCTAGAGGTAGCTGGGGGAGGGAGTAGGAGAGGGAGGGGACGATGCCAGGTAAGGGGAGTGTGCCCCTCCCAGGGGCCTTCTTCTGGTAAGCACGGACTTTGAACCAGGGCATGCCGGCCTCACCAGGGGCAGGGCGGGTACAACTCTTACTGGGGCATCATATGGGGGCTCACACGGCAACTATGGGGGCCCCATGGAAAGGCTGGAGACAACAGTCTGCAAGCAGAGCTTCCGGGAATAAACACTCTAAACTTCTTCTCTTATAAATATGTATTAGAACATTTGATAACACAAGCAACGTGCTCTGAAATTAATTTAAAATTAAACTGAGACTGAATTTCCTGCACTCCTAGCCAGAAATTCACCTAACACATCTGAATACCCAAATGTGGTTGAAGGTGGCCGCAGCCGCAGCAGCAGCCTTGGACACCCAGGCCCTGCAGCCACCTCAGTCCCGCGGCACCTTGAACTGGTCCTTCTCTTTGCGGACGGCCCTCATGGTGGTCACAGGGTCCGTCTCACCCGCATGCTGCTGCACAGTCTTCTCCCTGCGGAAGCAAAGCACCAGGCTGCAGGCCGCACCCTGCACCCGCGGGCCCACCACCCCTCCCAGGGCACCAGGGAAGAAAAGAGCCTGTAGGAGGCGGGACATTCTTAAAAATGAAGTGCAACAGCCAACGGCCAACTCAGGTGTTTCTAACCGTGGGAAACATGCTGGCTGAGCCAGTTCCTGCTGGTGACCTGGAAAGCGGGGACACCAACTCCACGCTGGTATCTGGCACTGCCCGGCGCCTAGAGGCTCCCCAAGCACAAGTCTCATCCACCTATGGATCCAGACTCCAGGGTCAGAAAGGACCCTACACCCTAGCCAGGGCACCAAGAAAAGCATCCCCCTTTAAGAAGAGGTGTCTCATTCTTTGGCTACACTTTAAACAGAGATTTCAGGGCAGACTCCTCTCCCACCCGGGCTCTTCAGGAGTCGGGGTGGGGGAGGCGGAGATGCCCGAGGACAGCGTGGGACCCGCTCCCTCACCTCACTCTCATGAATGGGTTGTAGGTGAACTCCTCTGCAATGGTGGATGGCACCGTGGGCTCCCCGATGCTGTACTTCTCCTGCAAGAAAAGTGGGTCCCTTTAATGCAAAAACTTCTAAAGGTGACACTTCAAAAAGCCTCCTAATGGTCTTCCAGTGTCGCCCGACTGAGAAGATAAAGTGAGCAGTGGGTCAGTACCAGGACAGGCCCTTCCCTGCCTGTGGAGAGGAGATGTGAGTGCTCCAGCTGCCACCAACAACCTCTCTCCTTCCCTTGCTGTCTTGGAGGTGCAGGGGCACAAGGAGCTTTCTTTTCATTAATACAGAAGTCATAACTAGCAAAAATGCAGAAGACAGAAAAGAAGAAAACAGCCCTACCCCCAAGACAGCATGTGGGTCGTGAGCACCTCACTGCCAGGAAGAACAGTGAGGCAACAGGTTCCCGGGGTCCCTCCCCTGCGGTGACAGCCCCCCAGAGGGCAGCTCTCATCACAGGGTGTTCAGGCAGCTCATCACCTCCACTCAGGACCAGGATGGCCTTGCTTCTAATCAACACTGACCAGGGCAGGCGGAGAGAAGACGCATACTGGGACATCTGGCCAACTGTTCACTCAGAAATGCCTACAGGAAGGAGGTCAGAGTTAACAGCTGGGGGTTTCCACCCTGCCCGCAGCCCCTGCCCTGCTACTGCTGGGCTCACCCTGAGAGCCACAGGGCCAGTGATTGGACAGCCACTGTCAGCACCCACACCCAGGCTTCCTGACCATCAGGGGCCCTCAGACCCAAAGGTCCCAATCCCACCCACACTGTGAGCAGTGGCATCTAGAAGTAATCCTTTAACCACTGGAGGTGGGTCAAGTTGGAGTCTGGTGGGAGGTCAAGATGAAGGCTTAGGGACTTCCCTGGTGGTGCAGTGGTTAAGAATCTGCCTGCCAGTGCAGGGGACACAGATTTGAGCCCTGGTTCAGGAAGATCCCACATGGTGTGGAATAACTAAGCCCGTGCGCCACAGCTACTGAGCCTGCGCACCACAATTACTGAAGCCCATGTGCCTAGAGCCCATGCTCCACAAGAGAAGCCACCACAATGAGAAGCCCGCGCACCACAATGAAGAGTAGTCCTCGCTCACCGCAGGTAGAGAAAGCCCGTGCAGCAATGAAGACCCAACACAGCCAAAAAATTAATTTTTTAAAAAAAAGATGAAGGCTTATTGCTTATCTCTAAACTTTCCCTTCTGATGAAAACAAGCATAGAATGTTTGATAATATTCCCTGCACTTCCTCCGATATTCTCACTCCTCCTAAGAAATCTTCCTCCACCTTTTTTTTTTTTTTTTTGCAGTACGCGGGCTTCTCACTGTTGTGGCCTCTCCCGTTGCGGAGCACAGGCTCCAGACGCGCAGGCTCAGAGGCTATGGCTCACGGGCCCAGCCGCTCCGCGGCATGTGGGATCTTCCCGGACCGGGGCACGAGCCCGTGTCCCCTGCGTCGGCAGGCGGACTCTCAACCACTGCGCCACCAGGGAAGCCCCCTCCACCTTTTATGAAGGAAGAAAACCACTGAACTATTCTAAGGATAATTTTAAAACAGGTCCTTGTAGGCATAGTTGGGGGAGTGTAAACTGTCATAATAACCTTTTGGATTATCTATTAAGATGAGCGTTAACATGCAGAGACTTTTCCTACAGAAGTATGAAGCACACAAATGTAAAGACTTACATTTGAGGATGTTGTTCACTGTAGCACAATTTATAAGAGCAAAAATGTTGGAAACTCTGTTCTCCCTAATTGTATTGGTAAAATGATTTACAGTTGACGTCCACACATTAGTATGTTTTACTTATTAAAAAGAATGAAAGTAAGATGGATAAATAGGCAGTGATAAAATTAGTAAAATGTTACTAGAAAGGTGTTGGGTATATGACTGTTCACTATGAAATTCTTTCATCTTTTCTGTATGTGTGAAAATTTTCATAATAAAAAGTTGAAAAGGCTAAAAAAAAGTTTAACACAGTTCAGTATAACCTATGTGTCAAAGAAGAAATCACAAGGGATATCTTAAAATATTTCAAATTGAAGATAATGAAAATAAAACATGTCAGAATTTGTGCTGCTAAAAGCAGTACTTGGGGGTAAGTTTTTAGCTTTAAGTGCTTATATTAGAAAAGAAAAAAGATCTAAAATCAATGACTGGGACTTACCTGGTGGCACAGTGGTTAAGAATCTGCCTGCCAATGCAGGGGGACATGGGTTTGAGCCCTGGTCTGGGAAAATCCCACATGCCATGGAGCAACTAAGCTAATAATTATAAAAATAATTATTTTTATTAAAAAATAAAATCAATGACCTTGGGTTCCATACTAAGAATCTATAGGGCTTCCCTGGTGGTGCAGTGGTTGAGAGTCCGCCTGCTGATGCAGGGGACACGGGTTCGTGCCCCGGTCCGGGAAGATCCCACGTGCCGCAGAGCGGCTGGGCCTGTGAGCCATGGCCGCTGAGCCTGTGCGTCTGGAGCCTGTGCTCTGCAACGGGAGAGGCTACAACAGTGAGAGGCCCACGTACCGCAAAAAAAAAGAACAAAGCAAATCCAAAGTAAGTAGAAGGAAAGAGTTTTTTAAACTTTATCTTTTTAAGAACAGAAATCAGTGCAATGGAAAAACAAGGAAAATTAAGGCAAAAGTTGTGCTTTTAAAAGATCAACAAAATTGATAAGAACAATGAAAAAAATTGGCAACATCAGAAATGAAAGAAGGGCAATTACTACAGATCCAACAAATATTGGCGGTGGGCAGCAGGGGGGTTGGCGGTTTAAATCATAATGATCTAAAAGTAAAAGCTAAAACTATAAAGGTTCCAAAAGAAAACATAGGTTTTTTTGACCTTGGCAAAAGCAAAGATTTCTTAGATGGGAGATAAAAAGTATGAACCACAAAAGAAAATATGTTGGATTTCATCAGAATTTAAAACGTTTGCTCTTCAAAAGACACTGTTGAGAAAACAAAAGGCAAGTTACAGAATGGGAGAAACTATTCACAATACACATATCTGAAAAAGGACTTGTACCTATACTTTAAAAAAAATTTATTATTCAATAATAAGACAATCCAGTTTTTTAAATAGGCAAAAAATCTGAACAAACACTTCACAAAATGGCCAACAGGCACATGGAAAGATGTTCAACATTATTAGGCACTAGGGAAATGCAAATTAAAACCATAATGAAACACTACTACACACCCATTAAAATGACTAAAATTAAAAAGACAATACCAAGTGTTGATGAGGATGTGGAACACCTGGAACTCTCATACTTTGCTGGTGGGAATGTAAAACGATACAGTCGCTTAGAAAACAGCTTGGCAGTTTCTTTCCAAGTTTCGACTTGGGACTTCCCTGGTGGCCCAGTGGTAAAGAATCCGTCCTGCAATGCAGGGGGCGTGGGTTTGATCCCTGATCAGGGAACTAAGGTCCCACATGCCATGGGGCAACTAAGCCCGGGCCCACAACTACTGAGCCCGTGTGCCTCAACTAGAGAGCCCCACATGCCACAAACTACAGAGCCCATGTGCTCTGAAGCCCGTGCGCCACAACTACAGAGAGAAAACCCACATGCCACTAGAGAGAAGCCCGCGCACTGCAATGAAAGATCCCACGTGCCGCAACTAAAGACCCAATGCAGCCAAAAATAAAAAATAAATTTTTAAATAGACTGAACAAGTTTCGACTTAATACATACACCTAATACAACCCAGCCATTCCACTCCTAGATATTTACTCAAGAGTAATTAAAACATATGTCACACAAAGACTTGTACACAAACGTTCATAGCAGCTTTATTCACAACGGCCAATAACTATAAACACAAATGTCTATTGACAGGTGAATGGATAAACAAAATGTGGTAAAACCAAACAAAGGAATACTACCTGGCAGTGAAAAGGAATGAACTGATACATGCAGCAACATGAATGAATCTCAAAATCATTCTGCTGAGTAAAAAAAGATGAAAGAGTACATACTGTATAGTTCCATTTATATGAAGTTCTAGAAAATGTGAACTAAGTTCTAGTGGCATACTGGAGCAGGGCAGAGAAAATGAGTCATGAGGAAGTTCTGGGGGGTGATGGAAATGTTATGCATCTTAAATATAGTGGGAGTTGTTTAATTGGTATATGTCAAAATTCACTCAATTGTTCACTTCAAATGGATGCAATTTATTACATGTGAACTAAACCTCAACAAGCTTGATAATAAAAAGGGAAACTATGAAAACTATGCCAGTAAATTTGAAAACCTTGATGAAATGGACAAATTCCTTGAAGATACTAGTTGCTAACAAAACTGACTCAAGAAAATATAAAAATCTAACAGCCCCACACAAATTAAAGACATTAATTCATATGTCTTTATGTCTTTATGAATGTCTCATAATTCATAACAAAAAAATCTTTCCACAAAAAAGAATTCAATGTCCAGAAGGCTATGTCAGTGAACTCTAACAAACACTAAAGGAAGAAATAATAACAATCATAGAAAAACTCTTTCAGAAAATAGGAGGAAGCACTTCCAACTCATTTTATGAGGCCAGCATTACCCTGATATTAGACAAAGACATTACAAGAAAATAAAACTACAGACCAATATCCCTTATGAACACAGACACAAAAATAGACACCATGACTAAGGTTTATCCAGAGAGCAAGGTTGGTTTAACATTTGAAACCAAGTGATATACTTCACCAGATTAAAAGAGTAAGGGAGAAAAAAAATGTATGATTACATAATAGATGAAGAAAAATCATTTGACAAAATTCAACACCCACTCATGACAAAAACTCTCAGAAAACCAGGAATATATGTGAACTTCAACAACTTGATAAAAAAGACTTACAAAAAACTCACAGCTAATATCATACTTAATGGTGAAAGACTGAATGCTTTCCCCCTAAGACTGGGAACAAGCCAAAGGTGTCCACTCTCACTATGTCTGCTTAACACTGTCCTGATGATCTTAGCCAGTGCAACAAGGCAAGAAAAATAATTAAAAGGCATATAGACTGGAAAGGAAGAAATAAAACTTTTTTTTTTTTTTTTTTGCGGTACGTGGGCTTCTCACTGTTGTGGCCTCTCCTGTTGTGGAGCACAGGCTCCGGACGCGCAGTCTCAGCGGCCATGGCTTACGGGCCCAGCCGCTCCGCGGCATGTGGGATCTTCCCGGACCGGGGCACAAACCCGTGTCCCCTGCATCGACAGGCAGACTCTCAACCACTGTGCCACCAGGGAAGCCTGAAATACAACTATCTTAATGTTGATGGCATGACTATGTGCTAAGGAATCTATGAAAAAGATGCTAGACTAAATGAGTTTAGCAAGGTCACAAGGTCAAAATACAAAAATCAATTGTATTTCTGAAGACTATCAATAATCATTTACAATAAAATCTAAAACCATGAAGTATTTAGGGATACATTTAACAGTATGTGCAAGATCTTTAACACTGAAAATTACAAAACACTGCTGAGAAAAACTAAAGACCTTAATAAATGTAAGGCTATATCATATTTATGGAAAGACGCCATATTGTTAGGATCTCAAGCCTCTCCAAATCTTTTGTTATAACACAATCAAAAGCCAAGCTTTTTGTAGAAATTAACAAGATGATCCTAAAATTTATATGAAAATGTAAAGGACTTAGAAGAGCCAAAATGAATTTCAAAAAGGAATAAAGTTAGAGGATTTATACTACCTGATTCTTAGACTTACCATAAGCTACAGTGATCAGGACAGTACTACTGACGCAAGAATAAGTCATGTAGATCAATGGAACAAAATAGAGTCCAGAAGTAGATTCATGCCCACATGGTCCATTTTATTCAGTAAAGATGCCAATTAAGAAAGGCAAGTCTTTTCATCTAATGGTGCTGAGCAGCTAGATGTCAATATGCAAAAAAGTGAACTTCTACCCTTACCTTACACCACAAACATTAACTTGAAGTGGATCACTGACCTAAACATAAATTTATATAAACATAAAAGCTAAGACTATACAAGTGCTAGGAGAAAACAGAGGACAAAGTCTTTGCGATGTAGGGGTATGCAAAGATTTCTTAGGACACAAAAAGCATAAAAGAAAAAATTAATAAACTAAACTTCACCAAAAGTATAAACTTTTATTCTTTGAAAGACACTGTTAAGAAAATGGCAAGGCACAGCTGCTGAGCCTGCGCTCTGGAGCCTGCGAGCCGCAACTGCTGGGCCCGCGTGCCGTGGCTGCTGGGGCCCGCATG